GTTGTCTTTCAGGACCATCATTCAACTGACAAAGCATTTCGGAGGACCTCAAACACTGGGATGATTCCAAGCCACCACAAGATATCGCAGATAACTCTGATACTTGCCACTCCTTGGACATCCTTCCCTATAAAAGTGATTAGAGAATTCAGGAAAAGTCCAGCTCCTTCTGTTTTTATCAAAACATTAGGTTCAGGCACAGGCACTCCAAATTTTCAACCAGGTTATAAGGGCTCTGGGTTCTCACTGTCCATTAATCCTGTCTGTTGTCCTGAATTCCAGTCCTATCAACAACAGGGTGCAAATTCAGAGCCTCATAGTACAGAAAATGCAGATCACACTACACTTGTGACAAGCATGCGGGCTTGTACTACAAATGCAGCATCACATAAAACTGGTGAGAGTGCATGGTGTCCATCTTTCTCTGTAAAAATTGCCTCATTTGGAGCTGGGAGGAGAGTGGTGAAGATTTCCATTCCTTTTTAGAAACATAAAGAAACATGATTTGTGAGGGGACATGAATTTTCATAGAGTGTTTCATCTTTTTGTCTATTTTTTTCTCACTATATTGTGTTACAATCCTTTCTGTTGATGGGGAGGACTTCCAAAAGTACTTAAGCTGCATTTCCTAAAGTGGAGTTATTTATTTGCTTACTAGGAACTGTGGGAGTGTTAAGAAAAAACTCAATCTTTTCTCCAAATGGGTTTGTCTTTGGCTCTTCATTTTGTATGTGGTTGTTGCATCAATGTTGCTTTCATAGCAAACACCTTTAAGACTAACCTGAAAGATACCTGAAATGTGAGGGCTCAGGGTTGAATGTCCATCCATCAGTGGAGTTGATATTACTGCCAGGATGGGTTCCCTTATCCCACACCCTTGTTCCCCTCATCTGCTTTTTGGATTGGGAGCACAGCTTGGTTTATAAACATTTAAAAGTTACTCATACTGCATTATTTTCCCTAGTAACCATATTGTGTTATGATTATAACTTAACAAGGCATGCCCCATTTGCAATTAACTTTTTACTTGTATAGTTACAAAATGTTGATTTATGCTGGGTCTCATGTTCTATATTGAGACTACAAAGTATGCATTTTGTAACACAGGCCAACAACTTGTAGTATTTGAATTTTTTTTCTTAAAGTAACTAAAAAGCAGGTATTCTGGTTGCTTTAAAGGAATGAGAAGACTTGGGATTTTTCTTTTTAAGTGCCTGTAAAGAAAGTAATCAACTTGAAGGTATTGAACTATAACTAACTAACTTTTAGAATTAAGTTTCTAAGTTATTGTTAGAAGACCACCCATAGTAAATGTTGGATATTGTGGGTTTCAGGAGGAAAGTAGGAAAAAGAAAATCCTGTTCTACTTGTGAAAGCCAGTTTCTATAAGGTTAAATGTGGCTCTCAGCAAACCACAGAATTTCAGTGAAAGATTCTGGGCTGAAGGCAACATTAGTTTTAATTAAAGCAAACTTATTGAATGAATTGGGTTTTTTAGTCACAACTAGCTTATTGGAAGTCCCAGAGATTTCAGGTAGGACTAATGTTGGATTTCATCTTCAGAATGGGTACATCGAAACAATACTCAGATTGCTGAATTGCTCAGAGTTTTAACAAAAAAAAATTCCTGCTTGAAAACCGACAGATGCTGGCAACGTTGTTCTGATATGCCTCCCCATCCATTTGTTCCTGAAACTGCCAGTCACCCATTAAATAGTACTTTTAGAAAAATACTGTATGCATATGGATGGTTTCAAATGTAATATACTCAAGGACATTCATTAGGTAACATATTCATCTGACAACAAAGCTAGGAATGTTGTTGTGTGCTGTCAAGTCAAAATAAACTTATAGCAACCTTAATAGGGCTGTAATGGTCAGATATTTAAGGAGTGCTTTTATCACTTCCACTCCCCCAGTGAGTTTTCTTGGCTGAACAGGGATTTGAACCCAGGCCTTCTGAATCCTAGTGCTTTACTCTATACAAGTTCTGAAAGTAATTTCAGCCTTTCCATCCATGATTTTAGCCAGCTGATGGGGGCCAATTTGGAAAATAAAACCATTCCCCTTTTGTATGCAAGATGTAAGTTTAGCCTTTCCATGTTGAGGTTTTCCAGCATGCCGGGAAAATGTAGAAATTAAAATTTAAATATGCTCGGGGGGAGGGCTACTCTGAAAGAAAAAAGTGTGTGTGTGTGTGTGTGTGGGTGTGTGTGTGTGTGTGTGTATAAAACCGTTCCCCTTTTGTATGCAAGATGTAAGTTTAGCCTTTCCATGTTGAGGTTTTCCAGCATGCCGGGAAAATGTAGAATTTAAAATTTAAATATGCTCGGGGGTGGGGGCTACTCTGAAAGAAAAAAGAGAGTGTGTGTGTTTGTGTGTGTGTGTGTGTGTGTGTGTGTGTGAGTGAGTGAGTGAGTGAGTGAGAGAGAGAGAGAGAAAGAGAGAGATTAAGCAAGATTTGCTGAAAGGAACTGAGAATTCCACTGAAATATTTTTTAAAACTATTGAAAAATCCCAGACCAAAATGTGTTTCCCTCATCTGCAGTGAAGAGTGAAGTGTAATATCAGTACTGTACTTTATTTATATATGGAAAAGCCACTGGCTTCTTCCTAACTGTTTCTTTTCCATGATGTCTTATTAATAAGGCCTAGCTAAAAGAGGTGAAGGATGAAATTTAAATTTAGGTCATGATCAAACAATGATTCTGCATTCCACTCTGATATATAAATATATATCTCATCAAATGCAAGATAAGGTCTAACATTGTTGTAATACCATCTTTTGTGTAATGTTTAATTTTAACAAAAATGTTTTTTAATAAATGTTTTCATGGTGATAAAAAAACTTGCCTTAAAAATATACTACTTTTAAAAAATGAATTCCTTCACTGGTATTTCTGGAATGTACATCCCAGTGTTTTGGTCAAGCTAGGTGCTGATATAGTTGGTAGCTAGTGGCTTTTCAAGCTCATTGAAAGCAATGACCTCGATCTGATTGCTGGTGCCAATGAGAATAGACCTAGTGAATCAATAGACATTTAGTAAATCAACATAAGTCCAATTGACTCAATAGGTTTCTCTATTTGCAATTCCCAACTGGATTCAGGTCACAGAGATTTAACTTTTTACATTGATGTAAACGGGGCCAAAATGCAACTAACATAGCCTGCAGACTTGTGCATGCTGACCTGGAAATAAGCCACAGTGAGTCTTGGTTCTGAATGTAGGCATCCTTCAGTCTCGAAAGACTATGGTAGCGTGCTCTGTATGGAGGACTTAAGGATGGATAAAATTGGTTTTTCAGTCTAGATCCAGCCCAAGCATATGATGGCATTAAATGGAGTTATTCCTCTTTTTGAGTCTTCTCAGAGGTGGATGCAGTACTGAACTGTGCCTCATTTAGAAGCTTTTAGCTATATTGTTTAAGCAGAAAACCTATACGTATGGAACTTTTCAATTCTGGTTTCTGTTTCCATTTTGGTGTTGTGACTTTTTTTAAAAAGAGAGGGAAGTGTTCTAAGTATCCTGCGAGAAAAGTAACAACACAGTCTGTGGCACCTTTTAAACTAACAGGTTTTAACTGTCACATCTCACTTCGTCAGCTGCAGGGGAAAAGCTATAGGTCAGAATTCTGCTGCTGGCTTACACTGATGGTATGCCTCACGCTACAATTGTGTGCCTGCTGAGGAACACAATCAGGCCTCAGTAATAAGTGGCAATTTGCCACCAAAATATATGCAGTTTCCCTTATGTCAGTGTAAATTGGCAGTAGGATTCTGACTGTACAGTCAAAAAGGCATCTTTGTACCCAATTATGACATTCACATACTTTTTCAACAGCTAGAGATAGTAGCTTTCCCAGAACTTTACATTATGCATTTTACCAGTTTGATCAATCTGATGTTACATTATAGGAGGGCCCCTCTTTTCTGCAAACAATTGTATTGTTATACAGTATAGTATACATATTTTCATGTCCATTTAAATTCAGGCAAATGGTTTTCCAATCCTTTCCCAATCGCTGTCTTGGTTTATTTTAAATTGAAACCACATAAAAATAAAGCACATGTGAGCACCTTTTGCTGTTGATGGACTAGATAAACATCTACATACTGGCCCTATTCCTGAACAGGAAATTTCAACATCCCACTGCCTCCACGGTGGCCTTGCACATAGCAAACTTGCCCGCCCCACCCTAATCCTACTGTTCTGAGTGTTAAATTCGAAAGGGAATTTTGTGTTAATTCTCTCCCTTTGGATCCTACCGCTCAGTATGATAAATTCAAAAGAAAGGCAAGTGGGATGGCTCCACAACTCCTGCCTTGGTTATAATTCAGAATAGAGATAGAATTGGAAATTCACCATGGGCCAAAGTACACTTTACAGCTGGCCCATCCTTAGAAGCTGAAATCTCTCAGAATGGTTCTACTTACAAAGAAAGCCTGTGTTTACCTGCACATGTTCAACTGCAAAACAAAGCAAATCAATTTGCAAATTATGGAGTTGTGAAAAGTTCTGCTGTGACAGCCAGACATTTTCAACACTCAAGAAACTCCTTCTAATGATACACTATTTGTAATAGGTGGTTTGTTCCTGTTTCCCAGCTAGACGTGCAACTAATTTATATTCTCTTGGTTCCATTGTATACATTTTTGGCACTTTATCTATTTATCCCTTATTCTTTTCCATCAATACCAGTTTTCCAATTTGTAAATGGAATATATGTCCTGCATTTTATTTTGACAAGTCTGGAAATTTTTCTTCCAAAGAGGAGTACCAAGATGGCCCTCTTCTCTTGATGTATCAGTCCAAATATTTTGCATTATTCCCAACACATTTTAATTTTTTTTTTAAATAATGCATCCTTTGAATGTATTGAAATTGCTTGTTCTTCTGATCTTTGGTGATTCATATTAGAAAAACACACACAAATATGGCCAGTAATCCCATTATGTTTCATAACAAACCTGACCAGAAGTGATTCCAATTTTTCATAGATGTATGTGAAAAGCAGTGACTTTGGGAACACAGTGGATGAGGTGGAGCAGCAGATAAAGAAACATGAAGCTTTTGAGAAGCTTCTGGCCTCCCAAAATGAAAAGGTAACAGTCTAATATCAAGTGTAAAGGAAATGCTTGATTTCATGAGCAGATAGCCCATCTCATGCCTAAGAACCAATACATGTGTGTACTAAGTGAAATCACAGGGTATCGTATATTGCTGTAATAAGTAAGACATATTAGTCAAAAGCAAAGCTATAGTATGCTCTTCTAAGAAGGCTGGATCAAACAACTATTTTAAGAAGGTAATTTTTCAATGAATTGGGGGGGGGGTCCTCCTGGATATGGGGAATCAATCAAGCCTAGTTTTTCTCAGCTTCACATTTTCCCACCAAATTATTTCTGTCCATATCTGTGTAAATATGTATTTTTTTTGGGGGGGGGGTTCCTAATAAGTATTTACTTTTGTAAACAGGCATGTTTTCAAGGGATTTTTTTCATTTAAGCAAATGTGAATTTCTTCTGCTTACATCTTTGTATCATTTTTCTTTTGCAAAAATGTGTCATAAATTACAAAAAAGAATGGGTTTTGAAGGGTAAACATGTTCTGATTTGTGTTTATATTCAGGGCAAAGATAAAGCTGCATCAAAATGTGAACTAAACCAATTTTCCACCCACCCCTAGTTCTTCCTCAGGCCAAATAGCTGAGAAAATTTGAGAGGAAAGGAATTTTCAGTAAATAAGATAAATTTCTCATCTTGAGGCTGCAGCATTATTCATAGTCTGACACCAGATTTTACTTAAAGTGAATTTGGAGGCTCACCCTTTAAAAGGGCTGACCTTGGGATTAGAAAGAAGGAAGAAGGCCCCTCAGATAGCAGTGGCCAGGATCCCGCAGTATCAGCCTGTTCAGGTGTTTTACCTAAGTCCCAGCAACATCCTACTGTTTGGAAATAGAGCTGTGTGCATGATGCAGGGTCTTCTCTACCCCTAAATTAGACTCCTGCCTTCAATAACAGTGGAGGATCCTTTCCCATTGCTTATGCTGAAATAAAATTCTCCTGCCACTGCAGTCTTTCTCTGTACATGGAACGGATTTGTCCTGCACCGGAGGCAGCAAAGTTGCCCAGCAAAACATTAAAAAAATAATGAGAGAAGATATAAGAATAGAATCTCACACTCTCCATCTGACAAAATATACATTTACTACCTGGTTTTCACTGGCACAATAGCAAAGATGGCTAAATGGAATGGGAATGGGAAATTGTTCAAGAATTACTGTTTCAGATTTCATTGGTTTGAACTCCAAAGTCTAAATCCAATTGCGAACCCCAGCTAGTAGACCCATGAACTCAAGGACTGAATGGTAGGTCAGTACTTTGTAGATACCATCAATTCAGTGGTTCTGTTCTAGTCATGACTAGGTAGTGGATGTAAGCCCAGTATCTTTTCAACAACAGTTAAAGGCCTGCCTATTTAGGTAGGCTTTTAATAACTGAGATTGCATCCATCCTAGGTATGTGTTCTTAAGAATTTCTTTAAATGGTTAGGTAATTTATTATTATT